GTGTGCCTACCTATTGTTGATGGAAGCACCTGAAGCAGGACCTGGAGGGCGAGGAGACACCCGATTGGGACATTTGGGAACACGGGTTTCCTGGGAGAGGGCTTTTCTCCATAGATAAGGCCCAACAGACTGCCCTTGTCTACCACACTGTGTTCTCAGGTATCATAACAACCAGACGTAAAGTACTATGGTGTTAAACTAATAATTACATCGGTTATTGTAGTAGTATTTGTCTTCAGTGAATTGAAAGGCTTTGATCTTGGCGAAGTCACTCATCTTTGCTATTTGTATGATCTCTTTACCAATGTGCTTTGAACTTTGTTCCAGAACAATATGCGGATTCACTGTTTATAAACCCATCCTATGATTTTTAAAGATATTAGGGACCACAGATTCTAGTCCTCCTTAAAACTACCCACTGGGCCTACATCAGTACTAAAAGTTAAAGAAAATGATGTAGACAAAATATGCATTTCTTCTTGTTTAATCATTTTAAGTATATTTATTTATTCTCTGTTGCATTCCCCCTCCCATTCTGTCTCTTTCTTTCTCTGTATATCTCTGTATGTGCGTGGTCTCTTTGGGTATGAACTACCCCACCCCGTGTCTCTTTTTGTGTTGGTGACTCTGTGTGTTTTCTTATTTTGTGTGTGAATGATCACTTTCTCTGTTTGGAAATGTCCCCCTTCCCGTGTGTGTTCTTTTATACATGAGATTTCCACAGCATGCATGTAGAGGTCAGAGTTCAGTCTGAAGGAGTAGATTGATTTTCTCCTCCCACCGAGTGAGGCCTGGGGATGAAACTCAGGACACCAGGTCTGGCGGCATGTACCTTTACAGTCTATCTCAGTGGTCTCTGATTTAATTGTTTGTAATTAAGCCTTTCATTTTTAGGTCTATCATTGATGCGGTGTGGAGCATCGTGCTTTGGATTGTTCAGTCTCCTCAAGCATTATTCTGTGAAGTATCCTTATTCAGTATGCCAGATCAGAATCATTACAACCGTCCTGGGCTCCCGCCACTTCCAATTTTGTAGGATATTGAAGACAAATGACCTTTAGGGGAAAAACAAAACCTGTGGTTTTGTATGTAGTTTCAAAATTGCCCATTCAACATTTAGTTCTGGCCCGCGAGTTAGCTCCAGTTCCCTTCTGGCCACAGGAATCCCAGCATAATTCCAGACAGATAGGAAATAGTTTAATCCTATCCGAGCACTTATTTCATAGTGCCATCCCATAGACCAGCTTCCCATATTCCTTCCAGCTCTAATCTCATCAGTGCCTCATCACCGCATTAAATAGGCCAAATTAATAATACTTGATACTTTTCCTTTTTATTTTCGCCTTTTTAAAATCAAAACCACAAGACAAAAAGAGAGAAAAAGAAGTGAAAAAATTCCAATAAGTATCTAGAATCTCATGTATCTTTTGTGTACCAGACTTTGTCTTGGACTACCAACCAGCTCTCAAATCATGACATGGAGATTTATTACTACTTATGAATGCTAGACCTCGTTCTAGCTTTTATTTTTACCTGATTCTCTTTAACTATGTTTTGCTGTTTTTCAGTCTATATATCTTACTTTCACTGCTCCTCCTATCTGACTGGTGGTTGCCTAGTTTCTGGCCCTAAGCGTGTCCCTCTGTTTCTCCCTCAATCTCTTTTCCTTCTTTTCTCTCTGGAGTCTAGATTTCTCTTCCTACTTATTCTGTCTCTGCCTGCCAGCTCTTTCTATCCCTTTACTGCCTAGCTCTTGACTCTTCAGCTTTTTATTAGACAAATCAGGTGCCTTAGGCAAGCAAGGTGAAATAAGTGTAACATATTTTTACATAAACAAATACAGCAGAAACAAATGTAACACACATTCCTGTAGTTAAAGTAATATTCAGCAGCATAAACAAATGTAGCATACTTTTAGCTTGTTAAAATAGTATTCCAAAAAGTCTTTGCCTCTATATATCAAATATATAGGAGATAATAATGAAGAAGCTAAACACTCAGTACAAGTTGTCATGCTCTAGCCTGATGGACCAAGACTTGCACAGAATATTTTGGCATACAAAAAACAACACTTACTAGATTTAACTAGAGATGCCGCAAGAAAACCCAAAATGTGTGCCATATAGAGAAACTGGGCATTTAAAATATTGTAATGTGGTGTGTGTATGCATATGTGTGTGTCTGTGTGTGTGTGTGTGTGTGTGTTAACATGGATTTGAAGATGTATGGGGTCTAACACGCATTCTGAAAAGCACATAAGTGAGTTGGCTTCATCGCTCGCTACTTCCAAGAAAATGCTTAGTCTTCTCCTGGACTAGTTTATGGAGCGTTCAGAGCTGCCTGCCAAGCTTTATCTGAAGTTCTGAGTTAAGACAGAGGAAGATAAATAAAATGGGTTTATGTTCTCTAGACCAGTTTTGTCTAAAACTAAGTATCATCTGGTCTCGTACTTTCCTCTTCTCTAGAAGTAATTTTTCGCTTTATTTACATGTTTTTCCCATGGATTGTTGACTGTGTTTGGTGTAACATACCAGGGCATTTGTGCCTACCTCATAAGAAATGTCATACAAGAAAATAAAAACCCCAAACCCGCTCAGGCTTTAATTTACTGAACCTTTGTTTATTATGTAAAATGTAGAACTGACAAACCGATATTTCAGCTGTGCAATGCCTCAGACTTCTAATCAGCCTGTCTGAAGGTTTATTCTAACAGATATAAAAAAAATGAATAGCAGGAAAGATGATCACAGTGACATCTATTCCTGGTTACTGGGAGTTTATTAAGTGTAGAAATCTGAGGTTCATCTCCAGACCCAATGAATCCTGAAGTTTTTAAGCAGGTTCTTGGATTCTCACCCACAGTTAGAGAAACCCCTAGACATCTAGACTCTAGCTGTGTATAGGACTGCGGCATTAGGGAGAGATGGGCTGGCTTTGAGTACCTATGGTCACAGGTATTCCCTCAGCCATACATATAATGTTAATCTCATAAAGAATAGTAAATTTGAATTTACAAAAAAACCTTGAATGTGAATGTATTTTTAATGAAAACCTATGATTCTTTTAAGATGACTGATAAAGTAATAAATGAAAGTAGATTGTCTCTTTCAGGGGATGAGTGTTTTAGGGGTGAGAGAGCCTTTTTGTTTTCTGTAGCATATGTATGAGTGGAATTCAGTTTCTAAGTCTGGGTTTAATTTTTGAATTTGTTTCTATGGTCGTATGTGACAGTAAGCCATTCTGTACGTTGGGTAGATTGCCATTCAGCTGACAGAGCTCATCATTGGTGGCAAGGAGGGAGAAGGCAGTATAGAAGAGAGTTTGAAGTTAAAAAAGAATTTTCTGTATTTGGAACTGATAACCTACCTTGAGCTGAGCTCTGTTTTCTTACTGTTTTGATTTGTACCAATCTCACTTTCTCACCTTTGAGTTTTATGTGAAGAACCCAAACTCACCGGTTAATTCAATAATTTAGCCATTGATGAAAGCCCTAAACAACTCATAACCTTCACAACTGGAGTTTCAATTTGTTAAGTTCACTACCTTTTATTAACTAGCTTTTTATAGTGCTAAAATTAATAAAGATAAAGATTATAGTACAATAAAAGACAAAAATTTTAAAAGGATAGTTTTTAATCACTTCATAAATCTTCATGTTTTGTCCTTTTTTTGTTTTAAAAAAGAAAATCTGAAGTTAATTTTATTTATTTATTTTATGTATATGAGTGCTCTACCTGCATGCACAACCTATGGCCAAAGAGGGCATCAGATTCCACTATAGACGGCCATGAGCCACCATGTGGTTGCTGGGCATTGAACTCAGGACCTCTTACAGAACAGCCAGTGCTCTTAACCTCTGTGCCATCTCTCTAGCTCATGAAGTTAATTTTAAGCAAAAAGAATATCTGTAAACCAGTATTAAAATGAAAAGAAATATAAAAGAAAAATTAAGAATAATCTTGGAAATTCTTGATATTTTTTATAGTTTACTGCCTCACGATAAATGCATTCGCTTAGTTACAGACCCTGAAGTTAATGTGTCATGACATCTTTTGCTAGAAAGTAATCAAAGGCTTATTTTTGGTTTGAACAAAACATCTATTTCATTATTATGTTAATATTTATAATCTTAGAAGCAAAATTTGCATGCTTGTTGTAAATAAGACCCATTCTTTCACAATGGTTTATAGATCATTGAATTTTTTTTAAAGCAGCATAAAGCTTTGGGGAGGATCTGTGTATTCTGGGTTATGGAATTATTTTAGTTTCCTGAAGTAACAAGTTATGACTTTAATAAGTCATTAAACATGAACAGCATAACATGAAGTTGTTGCCCAAACAAATATTGACTTAAAACTTTGTTTTTTAAATTGTGCACCCATTTCTAAATATGCAGAGGCAGCTTGGTCTTTAAAGACATGCCTTAAAAGCAATGGAGTGCGCTGAATGGCTACCTCAGCACAGCGTGTCTAGTTTGGATTGAATCTCACTGAACTGAGTAGTCTTCGTATATCATTTCCTTGTTACTGTGTCGACTTGTTGGTGAAGGCTCACAGGGGGCAGAGGCATTCGCAGAAAATGCGAGATCCATATTAAATTTCAATAATTTGAGGATTAGCTCATGGTACCAGCTTTCCCCTGTGGGCCATCTCACTCAAACAAACTTTGGTTTCTGTCAAAATACCAACATTGGGGGCAGGGTGTATTTTAGTCTAATTTACTCAGGTACGATTATCTTGAAAATGTGCTTTGGAAAAAGTTCATTTTAAATTTTGTGTTTATGTCGGGGGGGGGGGGGGGTGTGTACATGAGTGCAGTGGCTGTCAGCTGGAGTCATAGGTGTTCCAGAGGCACCTGAGGTAGTTCCTGGAAACAAAGGTAGGACCTCTCTGAGAGCAATGTGTGCTCTTAACCTCTGAGCCAGCTCCCATAAGGTTCTATAGTTAACTTGCTATGCATTGATTTGATGTTGACATTCTTTTCCCACTTCTTTGTTCTAGCTGTGTTTTGGGGTGACATTGCCTTAGACGATGAAGACTTGAATATCTTTCAAATAGACAGGACAATTGACCTGACACAGAGTCCTTTTGGAAAACTTGGACATAGCACAGGTATGGCTGACTATTTGAACACATTTATAACTTTTTTTTGGAAAATATATTTGAAATTCTGTGAATATTCTTAAAAATTCACATCAAATTTGACTTTGTCCATGGAAGTAAGCATGGTTTAAAGTTTAGGTTCTTATCATAGCTTTTATTTATAATTTTATTTAACAACCATTTTGTACTTATGCTCCATGGCTGTTTCTGCAACAATAACTTTGATGAAAACCCCTGGAGGTGATTCTAATTTTAGGTGTTTTGAATACATTTGAATTATGCCTCTGTGGAAACCTAGAGGTTTGAAATAGTTTTTAAGGTTTAAATATTCTTTATGATTTCTTCGTACAATTTTTATTCTGTGTTCCATTTTAGAGGTTTCAAGACTAAAAGGATTAAGTTCTTCTTTTTTAGTTATATCTGATAAATGTTATTATTTACTTATTTATTTGCTTATTTATTTTTGGGATAGAGTCTCATGCAGCTCAGACTAGCTTCAACCTTGCTATGAGTTCATAGTGGCTTTAAACATCTGATCTTCTTACCTTCACCTCCCAAGTGCTGTTATAATCATATGCTACCATACGAGGCATTAAAACATTGATTTGATGCATTCCTTTTATCTTCTTTAATTCCTCCCTTTTCTAATTTGACCTTCTCTTACATGTCCCAGTGATTCTCAACCTCTGAGTCATAATGTCTTTGGGAGTCAAATGACCCTTTCATAGGGGTTGCATATCAGATATCCTGCATATCAGATCTTTACATTATGATTCATAAGAGTAACAAAATTACAGTTAGGAAGTAGCAATGAAAATAAGTTTTTGGTTGGGGGTCACTGTAACATGTTGAATCGTATTAAAGGGACACAGCATTTAGGAAGGCTGAGAACCACTGTCTTATCCTATGTGATATTAAGTATGTGTAAAATTCCTCTCTGTTATCCAGCAGATAAATCTGTCTTAGAGTTAAGACATTTTACTATGCATCAGCATTTCCTTGTCTAATCCATTTGATTTAGTAACCTTTTGTTTCAGCAAATTCCAAGCATATGGAAAAGCTGTATGATAATACAGAGGATGGCAGTGGGATGGTCCTAAATACAGCGGATAATAGCAGCTGGTTTTGTGTGTGCAGACATGCATATGCACATGTGTGAATACATTCGGAAATTAATTACAGAAAATTTGTAGAAAATGCAACAACACATTTTAGCAAGCAGTTTCTAAAATAAGGGTATGGACCTATCCAGTTAAAATACCATTATCACAACTAAAAAACATCGTTGCAAGAGAAATATAAATGGTAAAAACTAAAGGATTCACAAAAAATAATATGCTTCGGCCTTTGTTGTATATAGTGACAGTCTTTCCTGACACCTGGACCACTGTATGTACATATGCAAATATAAATATAGATAACATATACGCTGGGATATATTGCAAGCTATCTGTGATTGGCATGTGTCCATCCTCTGGGCTGTGGATTCCAAATACTGAAAAACTAAAGGCCTCACATGATTTGCTCTGTGAACTTAGGTTTTCAAGCCATCAAGTTCTTTAACCTCTTATACACACATGCAAAGGCACAGGTCCCCTCACGACAGTTTCACATCTACTTAGCCATATTTGGCCCTCCTTCTAAGCCCTCTCTGCTAGACTCGTGGGATTTGTCCAGCACCTTCCTCCCCAGTATCCTTTTCTACCCATATTTTATTGTGGTAGTTGATTCTGAACAACAAAAAACTGACACTACTTGGCAAAACCCTGTGTTTGTTAAACTGAATTTTGAGTTTCGATTTAAGTGATTCTTTGATATAAGTACTATAGAGGTTATTTCTTAGGCTTAACTTTCCACATGCTTTGAAAATCGTTGCTTTCCTGTGATTAAATACCTTAAAACTATCATTTAATGTTGATAATTTATTTAAATGTAGGCTCATAGATAGAATAGTTGGAGGAACAGTAATATCTCTTTAAATATATAATGTAGAACACAATATAGTTTTGATAATATAAACAATGTAAATCCATTCTGGCAAGCACACAGATCAGAAAGCTCAGTTGGAAATTGCACTCTACACGTGAATTTCAAATAATTTAAATGTCCTATATTTTATGATTTTACTCAATTTTTCCTTTCCCAGGAATTTGTTTAAGTAGAGTTGTTACTTTTCTCGTCTTCTAATTTAAAAACATATGAGTTATGTTTACAAATAAATAAACACTTGATTTCTATATTTCCATTGTGTTCTAGAACAAGTGACAAAAAGATCTACCACTTTTAAAATTTAGTGAGCTACCAGTGTCACACTTTATTTCATTTATTCTAAATGTCATTCAAAATTGCTAAAATATTCTTCCAAACACAATCACTTTTCCTAGGTTTAGAACATCACCTTTTAGTTCTATGATTCACATCCATATACTATCTTGATAATAGCCAAGACATTCCTTTATTTTCAAAAGGAGTCCTTTAAAGATCTAGTTACATGCATTTTGGCTCCATTTAATCTAACTGAAGTTCCCATATAATGGTCATTTAAAACATGTAGAGCCCACACTTTAAAAGGATTTTAAGTAGCTTCTTAGGAATGAGTACATTTGAGTGTGACCTCATCTTTCTGAAATGTCTGATGGAAAAATTTCAAACATTTTTCTCAAGATGCACAGAAAAATGTGACCATGTAATGCAAATAATTAAACAAACTACTAGTCTGTGCTTCCACTGTTTGCCTTATAAGGACATTTGGCTTCTCCTTTAGGAAGTTAGATTTCCTTAAACTTCTCTTTTCCTCATTATTTTCTGGAACATCCTTTGAGGGTATTTTATTATTTTTAAAATCTTGCAAATCTCATAATGTAATGTAACACATTTTGCAGTTGAACATCCACGGGGGCACTTACCTTGTGACTTTTTTCTGATTATATAAAGTAGGGAGAATTACATTCAAGATATAGCTGAATGTACTGTAATATTTGACCTGATATTTCAAAGTTTAGGAACAAAACTTGCCATGCGAGGTTGCTCTTCTAGTGTTTTGATTCCCACTTCCTGGCAAGACATTTGAACAGACTCAGTTTACACAAGGGAAATAGCTGGGAAGCAATTGATATGGCTTTGTGACTTCCTGACATTCTGCATAGCATAGCTATGTGGCAACAGGTGGTGTCAAGGTCACAGAGAAGAAAAATGTTTCAGATTATCAATAGATAACTCAATTGTCCTGATGCCCAAATAAAGACATTTTGGTTGATTGCTGAGTTTCTCCCACCTCCTTCTTTTTAGTTACTAATGTGTTCTTGTAGAAACTTTAATCTCTTCAGAGATTCATGAATAATAATTTCTAACATACTAATTTCATATAAAAGCCCAACCAAGGAGAAACTAGCAGTATTACCATTGTTTATTTGCAAGGACTGAGAGTAACAAACTTAATATTTTTCTTTTATTCTTCAGGTGGATTTGGAGACCATGACATACCAAAGAAACGAGGGGCTCTGTATCAGCTAATAGACAGGATAAGACGACTTGGCTCTGGTATATCAATGTTTAAAGCTGCAGATTCTTTACTTGATGTGCAGTAAAACCGATACCCATAAAAATTCAGTTTATTAAGACCAGTGTGTCACTATTCTGTAATGGAGGTAAAGGATATACTGAGAGAGAGTCTCTTTTTGTTTCATTAATCGATGCATCATGTCCAGTTTGTAGAGCTTAAGTTGAAGAAAATGAAAATATTCTTTTGAGTCAACTTAAACTTTTCCTGGTATAAGATGAGTTAAGTATTAATTGTATGTTTTTGTTTCCAGTTCATTAACTACTGTTCCAAAATATTTTCTAGGCCATGGAACTGCCTCAATTTTATCAAACAATAAAGAAATCATAGCAGTATTTGCTTCTAAATGAAAGTAATTTTTCTTAACTTGTCAGAGGGATATTTCTACTAAGAAAAGTGGTGAACCAGGCATGATGGTTCATGTCTGTAATTCATACCACTTTGAAACTTTGAAGGCTGGGTAACGAATATTGTCATATGCTAGAGGGGGTCCTAGCTATATTGTGTATTTTAGGAATACTTGAGACCCTGCCTCAAAGCAAACAAACAAACAAAAATAACAAACATACACACAAACAAGGCCTCAAAGAAAAACAAACCGCAATCAAACAAAAAGTGAAATAAGAGCACTGGATGCTCATGCATAGGACCTCAGTTCAATTCCCAGCATCAGTTTTGCAGCTCACAACTCTTAACTCCAGTCCCAGGGAACCTGATATCCTCTTTTGGCCTCTGCAAGTATCAGGCAGAAATTTAGTGCACAGACATACAAGCAGGCAAAGCACCTATGTACATGAAAATAAATAATAAATTTAAAATAGCAACCAAAACACCAAATAAAACATAATAATAATAATATATTTATATATGCATGTATTCATTTCATAAAAACTTTATTCTGGTTTCATAATTAGTTCATATCTACAATATTTAATTTATTACCATGCATAGATTCTGAAACCTTTTTAGTAAGCCCATTATTTGGGCTTAATGTCCTAATACTCCTTCAGTTGATAGGATCAATGAGCTCACTTTCCAGAAGTGATCTTCCTAAGCAAAGACAATATGTTTGCTCAAGGATATTGAAGAGAGAGATATACTCAAGACTTTGTCATGGGGTTCTATGTTCAGTAGTTGTCACCATAGTGCATTTAGTGAGGGGCAGCTCAGTAACACTGATGGATGAATGAAAAGAATAGCCGTGAACATCTGTGAAAACAAACACAAAAAGAAAAATTCCAAGAAAGACAAAGAAAATAAGATTCTAGACTTGGAGTTTTCTCTGAATAGGCAGTATTTTGTTAAACCTATACTACGTTGTAGCTGCCTCTGGCTCATGCTGTTAGCTGGAGAAGAATGCAGATGACAGGAATGGAGACAACTGATTGTCTTAGTGGTCAATGCCTTATTTTTCTTAATCATTTATGTGATGTAACATTTATTGCTTTAGGCTGTTTTACTGGAATATCAAACCTGGTTTCAATGATTAAGTACTTGACCAGAATAATTTAAAGAAATAATCTTGAAGGTTGAGCACTTTTACTGAACAGTATCTGTTTTATCAGCTGTGGTGAATAGGTCTTGGACTGATATGATAGGCAATTTAAGACAGTTTTTTTTTTCCATAACCGTATACTCATTCCAGACTTCTGTATCCTATTGTCTAAAATATAAAAATTACTCATGACTCATTTATAGGACATTGGGAAATGTTATTGGGTCTTAAAGTACTTAAATATTTCTATGTATTTCTTAAACAGGTAAAATGACTGCCATTTTCCTTTAATGCTGTTTGCGTGTGTTTATGCAAATACATATATGAGATATTTGAACTCTTATTCCTTAAGGGTAGTAGGATTCTGTTGGACAGATGTTTTAAATGTCTCTGCAGGCTTGGAGCAAAACAAGACCACTAAAGGAAAAGCACCTTTAAAATTCTCAGAACAAAATGAGAAAAACCGAGTTCCCAGAGCTGCTACATCAAGGACAGAAAGAATATGGCCTGGAGGTGTCATTCCTTATGTCATAGGAGGCAACTTTACTGGTAAGATATTCCCAGTAAGTATGTGTGGGGTTTTTTTAAAAAGGAAATTTATTATACAGGCATATGTTTTATAGAATATTATTATCCATATATTATACACTATCCAATGAAATGTGAAAAAAACGCTCAATTAACCTGGACCTCTAACTTAAAACATCTCTGAATTTGAAGTAAAATATCTTGTCTTTCATTTAGGGTCTAAAGTATTGTGCTGGACTTCATATAGTGTTTCAGATTTACTCTGCAAGGCAGCTTGTCTGAACTGTCTCCCCCCACCAAAGTCTTTTAGGCACATATTCGTAGAGCTAGTGGGCTTAACCCTCGAATTAGAAAGTGAGTGTGGAGTCTGAACAATGACTTATCGTGGTGCTGTGAACCCGACATGCTTGATCACAGTGCTGGCTGGCATCCTTATCTGCCAGCCAGGATGGCGGAGCCAGCACAAAACACGCCTCCATGAAAGCCCACACTGTTTTAATAAAGTCATGAATTTTTCCAGGCAGCCAGCGAGCCATGTTCAAGCAGGCCATGAGACACTGGGAAAAGCACACATGTGTGACTTTCACTGAGAGAAGTGATGAAGAGAGTTACATTGTGTTCACCTATAGGCCTTGTGGGTAAGTAGAGAATGGACTTCAGTTTTGAAGACTAAAAGGGGAAGGCTTATAGGTAGGATTCTTTTCTTCCTGCTTGAATAGTACTTTGGCCAAGCGACAGTCTGAGTTTTGCATAATAAAGCTTGCATTCAGACAAACATATTTCCATGATCACTGGGCTTTGTGCCCCTTTGCAGGTCTTTGTCTTGCTACAGCAGTTTTTCTAGAACTCTGCTCTCTGTGCTCAGCAACCTGAAAAATCTGTGTCCAGCCTCTCTGGGAAATCTAAGTACTTAGTTTCTAGTACAGTTGCTTATCATGTCATTTGGTCTCTGCTGTCTTATGTTGGTATTCGAGTTCTTCCCTGTAGCATCTCAGACCTTTAGGCAAATCTACCTCCTCTCCTTTCTTCATTTTCCAAGTTGCTGCCACGATCAATTGACTTCCAAGCTCACTGGTGAGAGCAAGATTTCATACTTTCTAAGATTCGTTGGCGTTTTCTCCTACAAGAGTGTTTTTGAAATGTACTTACAAGATAACAAATAATTTCTTAAAAATAATTTTAGAAAAAGAAAAAAAAATAAAAAGAGAACATGACATTTAAAGAGAAAGGTGTAGGGATTTGGAGTTGGGGAGGGAGTGGGAGGTAAATATGAACAATTTATATGCATATATGGAATTGTCATAGTAAACAAAGTATTATATTAAATTAGATAATCATTTTAGGAAGTTGGCAAGATGTTCCAGAGAGTAAATATGGGAACAAACAAACCTGATTGCCTAAGTGGCCTCTAACATCCACATGGTATAAGCAGACAATCTACTCCCTCAAGCGGGCCTCTTATCTGTGCATGTGCACCAAGTCACACATAGTTCTTTGCTGTAGGCCGAGTTCTCTTTTGCAGACAACCACTCCTGACTAATCATCCAGATGCTTAGTATTAATTACAAGTGCTTGGCTAATAGTTTAAACTTGTTATTAGCTTACTCTTACATTTATATTGACTCATATTTCGTATCTATTCTTTGACATGTGGCTTATTACCTTTACTCAGTACGACGTGTCCATCTTCCTTCTCTCTGCATCTGCCCGCAACTCTCCAGAATCTGCCTTTCTTTGTCCAGGCATTCCCAGTATGCCTCTCCCACCTAATCTTATCCTGTCCAGCTGTTGGCTAGTCAGCTTCTTTATTAAACAAGCCACATTGACACATTCACAGAGTGTAAAGGAATAGGAATTTCTGCCTTTTTGTTTAATTAAAAAGGAAGGTTTTAACTTTCATATAGTAAAACCTACACAACAAAAATAGTTATCAAATAAGAATTACAGTTACAATATCTAATCAAAATTAGAGAAAACATATTATCTATCTTATCTTTGTGAGTCTAAAGTTTTATGCGTAACTTACCTTTTATTATAACTGAGGAAAACCTCAGCGATGACTATCTAGTCTTCAGCTTTGTGAAAGACCTAAGGACAGGGACATCTAGTAGCTTGAATTGTCACCCTAGGTTCTTCTGTGATGTTGGGGCATCCAACTTTGGACTAGAGGCCTGGTGTATCTGGAAGACATTTCTGATAAGTAGAGAAATTTGAAGGACTGTCCTACCTGTCTTGGTAGAGTTTGAAAGTGGTTTTCTTTGGTCCAGTTTACACAGTATACTGTCAGTAATTAAGGCAAGGGCAATTTCTTTGTCCAAATAGCTAGCTGTTGACATAAAGAGAACAAACTCTTATGACAACACACATGGTTGGGCTTCTTCATTTATGGTGTTTTTAATGGTCAGTAGAGAGATATTATGGCAACCAGGCCATCATGATGTGCATATCATTGTAAAATATTGATTTTTCTTTTTTCTGATTTTTAATTTGGAAACTTCTGTCCAACAAAAAAACAGTGATTATAGCCATTGATAGTTAAATCACTTCAGTGCATCTAGATTTCTTTTTATTTTTTATGTATTTTTTATAACTGAAAATAGATTTTTTTTCATACAATATAATCTGATTAGGGTTTCTCCTTTCCCATATTCCTCCCAGATCCTCTCTACCTCTCCTCCTATTGGGATCCGCACTCCTCTTTGTTTTTTTTTTCTCATTAGATAGTCACCTAAAAAGTAATAATAAATACTTGTTAAAGGGTAGGCTCTGCAACAAAAATGGTGATTTTAATTTTGTTTAAATTTATCTTTAATTAATTACCCAAAGCTCTTCTTGACACAAGAATTGATATAACTGCTGCAACAACGACCTAAGTACCTGTGTTGCTATATAGACGTCAAAGCAGTTGTCTATTTCTTTTGGAGAAAAATATTTCTCACTCTACCATGCACCATCTCTATTGAAGGTAAACACGTGATTCCAGTGAGTGTAGGAATGGCCCACCATGTTATTTTTACTCTTCCCATATTTTTCTAGATAATTGAACTTTAAAAAGTAATGAATTTCAATTTTGGCCTGACCTAAATGATATTAAGAAAAGTTAAACATCATTATCTACAGATATTGTTAGATAGTGCCATAAAGCATTGTCCATAGTTCATAGTTCAATAATTGAGTAATGTTTCCTTCAAATTTCTTGAATTTGGCATGCTAATTTTTAGTTACATTTGAAACACCTTCTAGTTTTTTGATTTGTTTAATATTTTGAACATCCAGGTCCCTGTGCTTCTGTCTGATTATCTAATTTTAACAATTAATGTCCAGTTTATGTGTTTCTAAATATGTATGCTTGGATCAATACATCTTTCCACTTTCCTTCTCCAAAATTTTACAAAATACAGGTCTGTTTGTTTGTAATACATTGATACCTATACTGATTTTACTTTCTGTCAGTGTTTCTCTTTTTACTTTCATCCTACCAGACTGGTTTTCCACACTCGCCATTTTTATTTTGCTCATACTTTTGTTTTTGTAAATGCATTTATGATGTAGATGCTGTGTTTAGAATGTAAGAGAATTAAAAAGTTCTCACCACAAGGCATTTCATTCTGATGACGAAGCAGACGGTGATGGCATGGAACAGTCACAAGGGTATAATGGAGAAATGCTCCTGGCCATGGGATCTATCCTGAGAAGTGGCTTAGGGCTATTTCTCTAGACTTTTCGTCTCTGATTATTTGGAATTTTTTTTGAACTATTGGTCTTTTGCTTATTATTTTGATTTTCATTTTGGGAGTGTATATGTGTTTCTCTGTTGTTTTAATTTTCTTTCATATGTTTTAGAGAAATAGAAAGACCACAGAGTTGAGAGGTAGGGATGTGGGGAGGGGAGATCTGAGAAGAATTGAAGGAAAGGAAAACATGATTAAAATACATGGTATAAATATTTGTTTCAGTGAAAAAAGAAGAAGAAGAAAAGAAGAATAGTTGAGGATGGGTGCTTCTAGAGATTTCACAGGAGAAGCCTGGGCAAATGAGACCAAACTAGCCCACTCTTCCAGTTTGCTTAGATTCTGGTTCTAAAAACGGCCATTAATACATTCATGGAAATGTCACATTGGTCCCCACAGATGTGTAGAGTTACTATTTGTCAATGGAATAATCAGGAGATAGTAAAGTCTCTTAGTTGCAAATGACTTGTCTTGCATGCTCCAGGCCCTGGGTTTGACTCCTAACACTTGAAAATTAGCAAATAAGCAAGTAAAATGGAATAAATAAAATAACAAATGACTTTTAAATGCAATCAATTACGACAACTTGCCTTATTCTCTCCTTGGTGGAATTCTTCCCTAGACTTTGTTTTTATCTTTATTTGAGATGCCCACAGTGGAATTTTATTTTCATTAGATGTCCACAGTGGAATTTTTTATTCATCAGATGTCCACAGTGGGATTTTATGTCCATCAGGTGCCCACAGTGGACTTTTGTTCCACCTACAGCGGTTACAGTTACCTTACTTCAGCTTGCTCATATATCTATCTTTGCCAAGGACTAGGGCATACAATTTACCTTGGTGTCCTCCGGGAACACACACATTGTTTTACATATAGGTGTTCATGAGGATATAGACGATTTCAACATTATTTCAGTCTTATAAATTTCTTAAACAATAAAACTCCGTGAGAGTTTATATTTTACATCCAAATAATTTAATGATTTGCAGCTTACCTAAAGATGATTAAAACTCATCTGCATTCCTAAAAACCAGACTTTTTTGGTTTTTTTGAAATTATAATTTAATTACATATCTCCCTTCCATATCCCTTCTCCAAACCATCCCATATGCAGTTCCCCACTTGTCTTCAATTTTATAGCTTCTTTTCTCATTAATTGCTAATGCATGCATATATGTGCATCATATATATATATATGCATGCATGTATACTCCTATTATAACCTGTTGAGTCCATATATTTCTCATGTGAAAATCAGACTTTTAAGTGCTATATAAAAATATATTCTTGTCAATGTTATAGTTTTAACGGTGCATTTTGGTGATTTGGGGAATGTCATTTCACATTTTCTTATTTGCCTTATATTATTTTTTCAGTAATAGTAATGATACTTTGTAATAGAACTAACTCATCGACTTCTGATCATTTTAACTATTTTGTGACTCCTAAAACTTCACACAGGGCTAAAGACACAGATATGCCATCATTTTTGTTGTGATAATGCTATATGTAAGTCTCAAAAACTAATCTTGAATTTAAGGGAACTTGGAAATGTTGCTGCATAAATATTTTAGGGCCTACTAGAATATACCAAGTCAAACATTCATCACTCCTTCTGGAATTCAGTGTTGGGTCATTCCTGTATGTAGTACTGGGGCATTGAACCTATAGCATTTAGGTACACAGAGTATGACTCACTATGGAATGTGGCATAGTAAAAATTTCAGTTTTACTATGGTAAAAATTTATGGTCACATCAAATCAGTTCCATTTCTTTTTCTTTTCTCTTAAATGTATTTATTTTATATGTATGGGTGTTTTGACTCTATGTATGTCTGCACCATGTGTGTTCCTGGGACCTGCAGGAGTCAAAAGAGGGCATTAGATCCCATGGAGCTGGAGGT